TTTAGTGCCATTGTATTGCCTGTAAGGTGACTGTTACTGTATATTGTCTGTGTTCCTTTCTGGTCTATGTTACTTTTAGGCTCTCCCTTTGTTTAGAGGACCCCTTTCAGTATTTCTTGTAGGGCTGGTTTGGTGTTTGGAAATTCTTTTAGTTTTTGCTTGTCCTGGAAGCTTTTTATCTCTCCTTCTATTTTGTGACAGCCTAGCTGGATATAGTATTCTTGGCTGCATATTTTTCTCATTTAGTGCCCTAATATATCATGCCAGTCCTTTCTGGCCTGCCAGGTCTCTGTGGATACGTCTGCCAATCTAATGTTTCTACCGTTGTAGGTTACAGACATCTTGTCCTGAGCTGCTTTCAGGATTTTCTCTTTGTCTCTGAGACTTGTGAAGCCTTGTGTTTGGAGAACTTTGATCTCTAACTTAAACATCAAGTGGACATATTTTTCGGGGAGGTTTTACTACTTTTGTCTTTTGTAAGACAGGTTTTGATCTAAATATCTCTAAACAAAACCCTGCCCCAGGAGAATTTGTCTTTGGAAGTCATTGTTGTATGCATAATTCTCGGAGTTACAAGTTATGTTAATTATAATATTGTTAGCTGGTTCATTTTAGTAGTTTTTACTCTAGCAATAAATGCCATTAAACTATACTTCTAAATAAGTTTATTTTCCAAGGACTACAAAATAAAACAGGTTTTGTTTTTCCAGTGGCAAAAATCATTTTGGTTGTGGTGTGTAAAAAAAGTCATTCTTTGTTTCAGGTTGGAATTTAGTGCAGTATTTTTTTCTATACAGAAGCATTTCACCATTTTAATTATGGTTTGCTAAGTCCAGTTGAGTGGACCATCCAGAGAGTATTGATGGTTTAAGATTGGATTGGATATTTGGATAACTTCATTATGGGACCTTGGCCAAGATACTTAACTCTTAAGTGTTTGTTTTAACCACCTGTTTTGTGTTAATAGTGACACTTAAGTGTAATATTTGTTTTTTAAGCATTTCTGGTTTGGACAGATTTGTTTTCTCTCTTCCTCTCTTGTTCTCTCCTGCTTTCCTCTGTCCCTGTTTCCGTTTAGTACAAAGCAGAGAGATTTTTATTTAGAGTGATGATGACTGAAGATTCATTCTCTATCCTTAAACATATATACATGTCTTTAGTTACTATTCAATGACATTATCCCCACAGAAGGAATGCAAAGAAATGATTCCTTGAATAGATGAAAATATATGATTTGATTCAGAATCATTGTTACTTTTTATTTAGCGGCACCTTTGGCTAAAGACAAAACATTTAATAGGTGAAGCCTATAAATGTCATCTCTTTTACTCACTCTCTGGTCTACACAATTTGAGCTCAGTATTATTGTTACCCCTATTTTGTTTAGCATGCCTGTTGCAGACTTGTCTTCAAAGCAAATCTGTGGGATACTTTCTGTCAACTGCATTTAGACCAGAGTCTCCCTATATTGTTATATAATAAAAGTTAAATACTTTATGTCTTGCTCACATTCATTCCTGTTGTTGCAGTCTCTTTAATCTAATTTGATGAAAGAGTTGTAGAACAATAAAGAGTTCTACATTGATTTCTAAAATCTAACTTAGTCAACGAGCCATTTCTCTGATTGCACATCTTAGAGGTTTTTTTTTCATTGTTGTCTGATACTAGGCGCTAAAACCTCATAAGATAACATTTACAAAAAGAGGTATAACTATATTTTGAAGTTTTCATTCTTTTCTTTTTTGTTTTTAACTGAAGTGTTCAGGATTTTATA